CAAGCCTGAGTGTTAACCTCCAGGTGCAGCCGCAAAAAGGTTCGAAATGCTTTCTTAAAGTCAACATACATTTAATCCTGCATCGAGCTGCCGGCACACAAACCTGGAAAAGTGCTGTAATGGTCTTAGCAACGCTGCAAGTTAGAGAAGATCTGATCCCATTTTAAAATCGACATACGATGGACGTACCATCCCATAAAATGTCAACCAAAATTGTAAAATGTGTTTTAAATCCTAAAAGACAACTTATCTAGTTTTCTAAGATTAATAAACATGCAGCATGCTCAAAAAATAGTTCGCCCTCGTCAGGACGCTGGCCTTTGAACTGGCTTTTTTTCCAGACACCTTTAGAAATTAAACTGTAAAATTGGTCTACATAATTAGTGCGAATTTTCTTATCGATTTCCGATGCCCTTTTAAATTCAGATATATACGGCAGGCAAAATGCACCAAAATGTTGTTTCTGGTCCTAATACGGTAGCAAATTACGTTTTCTTCAAATTTTGTGCCAGAAAGAAATGACATCGTTCGGTTTAGAAAACGTGTTTTTAATTATGTGATGTTTAAGACCGTGAAATGTGGATTCCTAACGAATTGTATCTTTCCATGTATTAATGTAGCCTATAAAGTATACAACGCAGTCCATATTAATTGCTAAACTTTATGTACCCTATATGCTATTTGATTTGACTTAGGCGGAATTTACATAGCATGCAGTTTGGAAACCCTGGATGGAGGTGTAGCAGTAAAGCGAGTTCAAAGGTACCCGGTAATTTAAAACGTTTTTTAACCAAAAGTATCAAAGTTAAAGACGTAAGATGCCACCAAATGATTACCAGAAAGAAAATATTTGCGCCTATCTTTTATAACTGTTCTTTGAATTTGAGGTGATCGAAGAGCAATGGAAAAAAAATAACTAGTACTTGGCTATTCATCGGTTACAGAGTGTACTCTACGCAGGCAGTCGAAGAGGAACTCATTGAGAAGTTGGCATCTTGACTTGACTGAAATAGCTTGGGATTATGGTCACGATAATTAATATTACAAACTTACTTAGGTGACCCTTTTTAATCGAAACCTCGTTCCGCAATTTTGGTTAACATTTTATGAGATAGCACGCTGAATCAACATTTACCGGTAAGAATGGTGAACTACCCCTCCCATTCGTAAATAAAAAAGGAGATAAGGCTATTGCCTCCTGAATGTGGAAAAATTAAGTGGAGTTGGCTATCTATTTAAAAATAATCTTCCGAAACTCCAGTGTGGATGGTATCCGAGTCCACACTCCTAGTATAAAGGCAAATAATAAAAGACTTCAGAAGACACAGCCGTAACACATCTCCTAAAAGTTGGAATTGTTTCTCCCACTACGCTGTTTAAACAAACCCTACAGTTGTGACGCAAGCACGGAGGCACAAAACTGATGTAAAGCACCATACATCGGCCAAGACAAGAAGCGATTTAGAAGGCCGACGTAAGATGGTCACTGAGCTGCACAAAGCGTCGTTTAGAAACGCCAAATCAATTTTATTGTGCGATAAAGCTACTGCTAAAATACCAGACTCTGGATAACCACTTCCAGAGAGGAAAGACGAATTCAGAACAGAAAAGTTAAAAGTTCAGCGTGCATCTACGCCCAACGGTGGTGAAATTAACTCCGATCACGTCAACTGCATCCACACTATGACGGACAACCAATGGTGTGGTTTTAACTATATCCGGTACAAGTCTATTTTGTCTTTCTCGACTGCCTTCACCGCAAAAAAAACAAGAAACGAAAAGTAGGCACGAGCTCTTTATGAAAATATATGCGAAGATCATTCAGTTTCCATGGGTGAATCTTCTGCGGCTGAGTCGAATTCCTCATCATCGTCACCCCCTTCCTCCTCTTCATCCTCGTCAGCCGCATCCTCAGCGCTTTCGAGAGGAGCTTCTGTGGCAAAGGTTGCGAACGGCTGCGAAGCTGGATAAACAGCAGGAGGACAGAAGTCGCCGTCTGCCTTCACTGGCATGGCTACAAGAGAGAATTTTATATCAAGAATGAGCATTGGAATCAAGACATCTGCCACTCATTGGAACTAGATTCACAAGAGACACAGTTATTCCGATAGTAGATGCAAAAATTCTGATAGGATTAACATATTTTTTGAAAGGAAGGCTTGAATATTAAGTTAGGCCCCAGTATGACGCCAAATTTATGTGGATAGTTCTGTTTAAATCACCGGTAATAAGGCCGCTTGTAAGTACATACTATTGCAATGGATAACTTGCCAGGGCACTATGAGTTCGCTCACAT